TGTAGTATTTGTGGTAGTATTTGTAGTATTTGTAGTATTTGTAGTATTTGTAGTACTCACTCTGGTGTGTGTGACCAGCAGGTCTCTGCAGTAGTATTTGTAGTATTTGCAGTAGTATTTGTAGTATTTGTAGTAGTATTGTAGTTATTTGTAGTAATTTGTGTATTTGTAGTATTGTAGTATTGTGTAGTACTCACTCTTGGTGTGTGTGACAAGCAGGTCTCTGCAGTAGTATTTGTATATTTGCAGTAGTTTGTAGTATTTGTAGTAGTATTTGGTAGTATTTGTAGTATTTGTAGTATTTGTGTATTTGTAGTATTTGTAGTAACTCACTCTGGTGTGTGTGACAGCAAGGTCTCTGCAGTAGTATTTTGTAGTATTTGGCAGTAGTATTTGTAGTATTTGTAGTGCTATTCTGTAGTATTGTAGTATTTGTAGTATATGTAGTACTCACTTCTGGTGTGGTGTGCCAGCAGGTCTCTGGAGTAGTTTTGGTAGTATTCTGCAGTAGTATTGTAGTAGTATTTGAGTATTTGTAGTATTATGTAGTATTTGTAGTATTTGTAGTGTATTTGTAGTATTTGTAGTCATTTGTAGTATTGTTAAGTATTTGTAGTAGTATTTGCAGTAAGTATTTGTAGTAGTAATTTGCAGTAGTATTTGTAGTATTTTGGCAGTAGTATTTGTAGTATTTGTAGTACTCAATCTGGTGTGTGTGGACCAAGCAGGTCTCTGCAGTAGTATTTGTAGTATTTTGTAGTATTTGTAGTAGTATTTGCAGTGTATTTGTAGTATTTGTAGTGTATTTGTAGTATTTGTAGTATTATTTCATAGTATTTGTAGTATTTGTAGTATTTGTAGTAGTATGCAGTAGTACTTTTGTATTTGTATGTATTTTTGTAGTATTGTTAGGTAGTATTTGTAGTTTTGTAGTAGTATTCTGCAGTACTTCACTGGGTGTGTGATCAGCAGGTTCTGAAGTAGTATTTGTAGTATTTGTAAGTATTTGTAAGTAGTATTTGCAGTAGTATTTTAGTATTTGGTAGTATATTTGTAGTATTTGTAGAGTTTTGCAGTAGTATTTGTAGTATTTGTAGTATTTGTAGTAGTATTTGCATAGTATTGTAGTATTTGTAGTAGTATTTGTAGTATTTTGTAGTATAATTTGTAGTATTTTGTAGTAGTATTTGCAGTAGTTATTTGTAGTATTTGTAGTATTTGTAGTATTTGTAGTACTCACATTTGGTGTGTGTGACAGCAGGTCTCTGCAGTAAGTATTTGTAGTATTTTGTAGTATGTATTTGTAGTATTTGTGTAGTATTTGTAGTATTTGTAGTAGTATTTGCAGTAGTATTTTGTAGTATTTGTAGTATTTGTAGTATTTTGTTATACTCATCTGGTGTGTGTGACCAGCAGGTACTTCTGCAGTAGTATTTGTAGTTTTGTGTAGTAATTTGCAGTAGTATTTGTAGTATTTGTAGTATTTTAGTGTATTGCCGTAGTATTTGTAGTATTTGAGTAGTATTTGTTAGTATATTGCTTAGTAGTATTTGGTAGTAATTTGTAGTAGTATTTGCAGTAGTATTTGTAGTATTTGTAGTACTCACTCTGGTGTGTGTGACCAGCAGGTCTCGGACTGTGTAACTCTCACTTTCTTCTTCTCTCTTCAGTTCGATGGAAATGTCTCCGTGCACCACAGCGCCATCGCCAGGCCAGTACTGAGCACACTTCTCCTGGAACGACAGAACACACAGACCACGACAGCGAGTGAGAGAAGATCAGAAACACAAGACAACAGACGGTGAGAGAACTGACAAACACACAGGACGACACGAAGAACAGAGTGAGAGAACGACAGAACACACAGACGAGTGGAGAAGACAGACAACAGACGAAACAGAACGAGTGAGATGAAGACAGAACACCATGACGAACGACAGACGAGTGAAGAACGCAGAACACACAGACGACTCACGACGAGTGTGAAGAAACGAAGAACACACAGCGAACAAAAAGAGAGTGAGAGAACGACAGAACACACAGACAGTGAGAGAACGACAGAACACACAGACGACACAACAGACGAGTGAGAGAACGACAGAACACACAGACGACACAACAGACGAGTTGAGAGGAACGAACAGAACACAACAGACGACACGACAGACGAAGTTGAGGAGAAAGACAGAACACAAGAACGCAAGACGAGAGTGAGAGAACAGAACAGAACACACGACGACACAGACAGTGAGAGAACGACAGAACCAGCGACAACGAAGAGTGAGAGAACGACGAACACACAGACGAGTGAGAGAAGACAGAACACCAGACGAGTGAGAGAGACAGAAACAAAGACGACACGACAGCGATGAGAGAACGACAGAACACACAGACGACAACAGACGAGTGAGAGAACGACAGAACACACAGACGACAACAGACGAGTGAGAGAACGACAGAACACACAGACGAGTGAGGGAGGAGAGAAGGAAAGAGGGAGAACAGAGACGAGTGAGAGGAGTGAAGGAGGAAAGAACAGAGAACAAAAAAAGAGAAGAAAATCAGATGAAGAACGAGAGAATGAAACAGACAGAAGAGAGTCAACTCTAAAGACACTCCTCCTCTTTCTGGCCCCTGTCGCCTCCCTGTCCCCTGTCTCCTGTTTGCCCCCTCGGTCGCACCCTGTCGCCCCTGTCGGTCTCACCTGTCGCCACTGCGCCACTGTCGCGTCTCACCTGTCGCCCCCCTCGGTCTCACCTGTCGCCCCTGTCTCTCACCTGCCCCTGTCGTCGCCCCTGTCTCACTGTCGCCCGTCGGTCTCACCTGTCGCCCCTGTCGGTCTCACGTCCCCCGTCGGTCTCACCTGTCGCCCCCGTCGTTCCCTGTTGCCCACCTGTCCCCCCGCCCTGTCTACCTGTCGCCCCTGTCTGTCCTTCTGTCGCCCCTGTCGGTCTCACCTGTCGCCCCTGTCTCACCTGTCCTCTCTCCTCGAGCTCCGTCAACATGACGATGGAGCAGCTCCTCCACTCCCAGATCATCCTCCAGAAATTCTCCAGCGTGTGAAGCAGAGGCCCCTGCGAGAGGCGACGCACAAACACACACACACACATACACAACAACACAACACAACTAACACACACACAACACACACACAACTACACAACAAACACAACACAACACAAACACACGTACGAGTCCTTCTGCCTGTAACCCTGAGGATACAACCACACACCCAGCGGTGAGAGGGCGACGCACAACTACACAACTACACAACTACACAACTACACATACACAACACACTACACACACACACACTACACACAACACAACACACACAACTACACACAACTACACAACACACACACTACACAACTACACACAACTACACACAAACAAACACAAACACACGTACGAGTCCTTCTGCCTGTAACCCTGAGAATACAACCACAAACCCAGCGGTGAGAGGGCGACGCACAACTACACACAACTACACACACACACACAACTACACAACTACACAACAACTACACAACTACACACAACTACACACACAACTACACACACTACACACAACAACTACACACAACTACACACACAACTACACACAACACACACAACAACTACACACAACAACTACACACACAACTGACACACAACACACAACTACACAACTACACACAACTACACAAACTACACAACTACACACAACAACACACAACTACACACACAACACACACTACACAACTACACACACACTACACACAACTACACACACACACACACACACACACACACAACACACACACACACACACACACACACACACACACACAGACAGACTGGTGAGAGAGCGAGAACACACTCTCCTCTACAGGATCCTGGGCTTTAGTTTGTTCTGTTGTAGTACTGCAGTACTATATTAGTACTTAAGTAGTATTACAGGAGTACTGTAGTAGTAGTATATAGAATTGCAGTAGTACTGCAGTACTGCAGTAGTAGTGTAGTTAGTGAGACTCACGTCGATGAAGGAGGCGTTGACGTAGTCGGTGTTTTCTTCTCCTCGTTTCACTGGAATAATCACACGATTAAACTCATCTGGAACAAACAGAAAGAAAAAGAACAGAAAGAAAGAAAGAGAAAAGAAAAAGAAAAAGAAAGAAAGAGAAAAAAGAAAGAAAAGAAAAGAAAGAGAAAAGAAAGAGAAAAGAAAAGAAAAGAAAGAAAGAGAAAAGAAAGAGACTCAGGTAAATTGACCAAACACAGTTGTGGATTTACAGACAAATACTGTGGTTAAAACATGTTACAGGGGATGATCTGCAGGACTCTGTTCTTCTTCATGTTCGCTGGGAGGTTCCCCGTCCTCATCTTATCGTTCTGGATCTTTATGGACGTCAACTTCTGCAGAAACAAGAAGAGGTCAGAAGGTCAGGGGGTCAGAAGGTCAGAAGGTCAGGGGGTCAGAAGGTCAGAGGAGCAGAAGGTCAGGGGGTCAGAAGGTCAGAGGAGCAGAAGGTCAGGGGGTCAGAGAGGTCAGGGGGTCAGAAGGTCAGAGGGAGGGCATCTGACACACAGAGGGGGAGGGGGGCGGGGCCTGACCTTAAACTCCGCCTCCAGCCCGCTGCAGCCTGCACCTGGCGCAGGTGCGTAGAGCTTTGACAGGTGCGACTCGAGTGACGTCACCTCCAGCTCCGTGTCGCCGTAGAGATAATGTTCGAGGAGAGCCTGGAAGATGAAGACGTACTGCATCTGCAGAGGAGACCAAGACCAGGTTCAGACCCGGTTCAGAACCAGTTCAGACCAGGTTTAGTCCTGGTTTAGACCTTTAGTTCAGTCCTGGTTTAGACTCCAGTCCGGTCCAGTCCCGGTCCAGTCCCGGTCCAGTCCCGGTCCAGTCCCGGTCCAGTACTCACGTCGGTCTGGACCATCTGGCACCTCTGGGCTCTGATCCGGGTCACGAACCCAAACACGTCGACTTTTCTCTCTGACATCATCATGTCCAA